CGGTCCCACCGATTTGGCTTATGCCATTGCACAAGTGAGACTCGGTCTGACCGAGAATTACTTATCGGTGTGATTGATTTTGGAACTCTGTGAAACCCTAGCAGTCTCGGTGCCACCGAACTGTGACTCGGTCCTACCGAGTTCACTAGTTTAGGTTCCAAAACTGCTTCGGTATCACCGAGTTTGAAAATTGGTAGATCCGAGATGATTTCAGTGAGAAACTAAAACTAAGTTTTTGGATCATTCTTTTGCAAAAATCTCTGCATTTTGTGATGCTCATCCTTTCTACCTCATCTATAATCTGTTCACAGGGTCAGCAGTCAGTTTGTAGCATGTCTGATCAAAGTGATAGCCAAAACATGTCAGAGCAGCAGGTGCACATGAGTGAGGGCACTAGTCCCTCCAGTTCTTCTGATGAAGGCAGCAGGAGCACTCCTAGCAACTTGCCAAAGGCTGCCACGAGATAGAGGAAGAAGAGGACTTCTGATTCCGAAGATGAGGACTATGTGGCAGAGGAAGAGACCACCTCCAAGAGAGTTGAGCCAGCTCAAGGCACAAAGCCAGGGCTAAAAATCAAAAGGCCAGCAGGCAGGCAGCCAATGTCAAAGGCCAGAATGTCAACTGAGAAGCCCATAGAGCCAGTTGCAGCTGAGAGCAAGAAAAGAAAGGAAAGGGTGAAGAAGACTGTGGCTAGAGTGCTTGGCAAAGCTTCCATCATGGAAGAGGAAGAAGAAGAGGTAGATGCACCAGCGCCCAAGGCACCCAAGCTAATGGGAGATGCCATAAAATCAGGGGGAGCTGCCTCCAAGGCCAAGCCAGCTCCAAAGCCAAAGCCAAAGAGGAACACAAGAAGCATTCCTGCAGCTGAGAAGAACAAGGCCCCAGTGCCTGAGACTGTTGCTGAAGAAGAGGAAGAGAATCTCCTAAGGAAGCTAAAGCCCAAGATCCCAGACCACAACGATGCTCATCCTGTGGCTGAGGATATGAAGCTCAGGAGAGATTCAGGGCTGAGGAAATGGAGAGAAGCAGACCCATACACTTCAAGGAGAAGGACAGCAGTTGACTACAGGTTTCACACCAAGGAGCAGCAGGATTTTTATGAGACTGTGCTGCTAGATAAGAAGCCCATTGTATGTGATATGAGATGGGTCGACTGGGAATATATCAAGGAAAACGAAGAGCACTATCCTGGAGTGCAAGACAGCTTCATAGCTTGTGGAGTAGCCGACTTTGTTGGGCAGAAGCTCACAAAGTGGAACGAGGAACTTATCATGCAGTTCTACTCCACGACACATTTTTATCCAGATGGAAGGATCACATGGATGTCTGAGGGTACGAGGTACCAATCCACTGTTGAGAAATGGGCAAAGTTGATCAATGCCCCAGAGGAGCATGACGATGACATGGACATATATGCCAAGAAGAAGATGGACCACAACTCAATGTCAGATATGTACAAGGAGATCCCAGCTCCAGCATCTACTTCAGCTCCAACTCCAGCGTCTACTTCAGCTCCAACTCCAGCGTCTACTTCAGCATCTACCGAAGCCTTCATCCTTGGAGTGATCCGGACTCCACCACCACCTGAAGATCAAGCCTGAGCGTCCATCTAGTGCTATGCATTTTCTAGGAACTTTTTGGTAACTTGTTGCCAAAGGGGGAGAAGATGTATAGATCATAGGCTTCGAGAGAGAGAGAGTGTTGCTTTTCTCTCTTGCTTTATTTGGTGGTTTTTTGAACTCGTTTGCTTTTGAGTGCTTGATATACTACGTCATTATTTGTAAGACATTGATGATCATGTGTTTGATCATAAGCTACACTTAATGCTTGCTTAACGCTATTATCTTATCTATCTTATGTGATCATTCATTATTCTTGGTGATGAGTGCATGTATTTCATTCTTATCATTTTAAGCGCTCCACCAAGATGTATGTGACATGGAAGAGTAACCCATGACTCTAACTCCTTGTGCATTTGCAGTCCAAAGCAAATTTTAAATAAGCACAAATTTTGGGGGAGCTCTTACTTATCACATACTTCTCAAAGCGACGATATATTTCATGTTTATTATCATTTGTCGAAGCTTTGATCTATATGTTGTCATCAATTACCAAAAAGGGGGAGATTGAAAGTGCAACTATCCCTAGGTGGTTTTGGTAATTCATAACAACATATAGCTCATTGAGCTAATGCTATTCCAAGATGATTATTTCAGGAAAGCTCAATGATTGGCATGGCATGGATGTGAAAGTGGAACCCTCAAAATGCTAAGGACAAAGGATTGGCTCAAGCTCAAAAGCTCAAGACTCTTCATTTTATATTTTAGTGATCCAAGATCACATTGAGTCTTTAGGAAAAGCCAATACTATCAAGGAGGGATGAGGTGTTGCTTAATGAGCCTCTTGCTTCATGTGCTTAGTGATATGCTCCAAAACCCTCAACTACTTTCCCATATCCACATATGACCTAAACCCTAAGCCAAACTCGGTCCTACCGATTCTTCCTATCCGGTGCCACCGAGTTTCACTTGTCATTAGCCACTGCCAAACCCTAGCAATTCGGTCCTACCGATAGGGATCTCGGTCTCGCCGAGATGGGGTTGCAAACTCTCTGTTTCCCTTTCGTAACTTTTCGGTCTCACCGAAAGAGCGAATCGGTCCCACTGAGATTGCAATGTAAACTCAGTGTTTCCCCTTTGTAACTTTTCAGTCTCACCGAGTTCCACTCGGTCTCACCGAAAGAGCAAATCGGTCCCACCGAGTTTGCCTGACCAACTCTGTGGTTAGCTAATTACCAAATTCGGTCTCACCGAGTTTGTGTAATCGGTCTCACCGAGATTACGTTATGCCCAAACCCTAACCATATCGGTCCTACCGAGTTGCATGTCAGTCCCACCGAAAATCTCTAAGGTCACTAGGTTTACATTTTCGGTCCGACCGAGTTTGTTGATTCGGTCCCACCGAGATTGGAAAACTGTGTAACGGTTGGATTTTGTGTGGAGGCTATATATACCCCTCCACCTCCTTCTCATTCGATGAGAGAGCCATCAGAACACACACACCATTCCAACTCATATGTTCTGAGAGAGAACCACCTACTCATGTGTTGAGACCAAGCTATTCCATTCCTACCATATGAATCTTGATCTCTAGCCTTCCCAAGTTGCTTTCCACTCAAATCTTCTTTCCACCAAATCCAAATCCTATGAGAGAGAGTTGAGTGTTGGGGAGACTATCATTTGAAGCACAAGAGCAAGGAGTTCATTACCTACACACCATTTGTTACTTCTTGGAGAGTGGTGTCTCCTAGATTGGCTAGGTGTCACTTGGGAGCCTCCGACAAGATTGTGGAGTTGAACCAAGGAGTTTGTAAGGGCAAGGAGATCGCCTACTTCGTGAAGATCTACCGCTAGTGAGGCAAGTCCTGTGTGGGCGATGGCCATGGTGGGATAGACAAGGTTGCTTCTTCGTGGACCCTTTGTGGGTGGTTGCTTCTTCGTGGACCCTTCGTGGGTGGAGCCCTGTGTGGACTCGCGCAACCGTTACCCTTGGGTGGAGCCCTGTGTGGACTCGCGCAACCGTTACCCTTCGTGGGTTGAAGTCTCCATCAACATGGATGTAGGATAGCACCACCTATCCGAACCACGGGAAAAACATCCGTGTCTCCAATTGCGTTTGAATTCTCCAAACCCTTCCCTTTACATTCTTGCAAGTTGCATGCTTTACTTTTCGCTGCCTATATACTCTTTGCATGCTTGCTTGAATTATGTGATGATTGCTTGACTTGTCCTAAATTAGCTAAAAACTGCTAAGAACTAAAATTGAGAAAATGTTAAGTTTTTATTTGGTCAAGTAGTCTAATCACCCCCCCTCTAGACATACTTTCGATCCTACAACCTGCCACTGTGAAAAAAAATATGATGAGGTTTACATGGGTCCCACCTTTCAAGTCCCAATGCCAACACCAACACGTACCTTGGCCCTAGACGGGAGGGTGAGGCAGTGACTGCACGAGGACGCTGGATAGAGATGAAGAAGAAGGTGACCTGCCTTGTGGGCCCGTGTCCACTGCATCATACTTTTCCACTGAGGCATGCGATGTCCATTGACAGAGCCTCACGGAGGCCAAATGGGGTTGTGACCCCCCTTCCAAAAGTTTTATTTTATTTTACTCTACTAAGCATTGGTATCAACATCTCACACTCATCCATGCGTTCCTCAAATCATCTGAAACAGTGTGTCTCTCCGTGACTCACCTCCATGGCTAGTGAAATTCTAGGTCTTCCTCCCAAGTCTCAATCCTCAATCTTTTTTTCCCTTCTCGTCTACTCCATCGATTCTTTAATTTCCAACCTTCGTTGTGCCGCCCGCTTGCTGCTGCACCAACAATGGCTACTTCTACATGCCACCGCGTCTGATTCCCTTCTCTTTATCTGGTGCTGCCACCGTGTGTTGCTTGTCACCGATCATCATCGGCGGCCTGATGTCATCGCAGTTGCGGGCATGCACGGCCCAATGCGACGACTATCGATGAGCTGAACAATGAAGTGCTTTTGAGGACTAAAGAAGCAAAGCAAGTTTATTTTTCAAATGTTCTTAAAGAAAATTGTTTCAGAGATGTTCAGATCATGTTCAAAGACTTGAATCAGATGTTCACTCAGTCAGTCATGTTCTGATTGCGTCGATTAACGAAATTTGATTTGGAAAAGCACTGGCGCTATTTGGATTTTCGTTTCAAGTACAAACCATGCAGTCCTTTTTCCAAAAAAAAAGAAGGAAGCAGCTATTGATTGTGTATTCATGCATATTTACTTAAATACTCCCTCCGTGAGGGAGTATAAAAGTTAAATGATGTAGGATGAATTTGCTAGACCCCCATGTTTTGAGGGTCCTTTTTGCAAGATCCCCTTTTCAATCTCCATCCCGAGCGAGAGCCACAGCCGCGAGAAGAGCAGAGCAGAGCGCAGAGAGGTCCCTCCTCCCCCTCACCGTCTCCGGCGATGCTGCTCCGCCTCCGCCCGCCGGCCGCCGCCGCCGCGGGCCTCTCGTCGTTCCTCCCCTCCGCCCCCTTCACCCGCCCCCTCCCCTCGCCGTCCTGGCGCCCGCGCCCGCGCCGCCCCCGCCTCTCCATCGCCGCCGCCGCCTCCACCTCCCCCACAGGAGGAGGAAGGGTGGAGTCGCTGCGGGAGCGGTACGACGTCATCGTGGTCGGAGGGGGGCACGCCGGCTGCGAGGCCGCGCTCGCGTCCGCCCGCCTCGGCGCCCGCACCCTCCTCCTCACCCTCAACATCGACCGGATCGCCTGGCAGGTCTCAGCCGAGCTCTGTTACGGTTTTCAGTTTAGGTTTCTGCAGTAGTGTAGTGGCATATCATTTTTGATTGGCAAATTTGCAACTGAGTTCATGCGCTAAATGGATGGATGCGAGCAAGCCAGGAGTAATGTTCACTGGGTTACCATACGTCACAGTGCAGTAATCTCAGCATAGTATGCTAATTGCCGGTGCCAAAACTGAGATGCATTGGTGGCAGCCCTAAGAGAAACACGAGAAAGCATTGGTGTCAGCTGACACCGATGCCTCCGTCCCTGCGTCGAATCCTTGCCATGTATTTGAAGTCTGTAATCAAGTTCTGTACACCCAGAATCGAGCCATTAAACCATGTGCTGCAAGAGTTGAATAATGTGCAATACTGTGATATGTTAGTGTATATCAGTTTTGTGATGTTGCAGGGACTCAAAGCGCAGCTGTGATGACTCGTTTTTTTCCCCTCTCTTTGCTATGTTATATACAGCCTTGTAATCCCGCCGTGGGTGGCCCTGCAAAGTCTCAACTTGTCCATGAGGTAGATGCCCTTGGCGGTGATATTGGAAAGATTGCAGATAGGTAGGAAGTTAAATCTGCTCTTGTTTATACAGACGAACCATTTCGTGTCTTTTGTGCTTGTGGATGGGGTGTTGGTCTGAGAGAGACTTTCAGTGCTACCAAATCAACAAAGATCTTTTGGTATGTACTCATTACCTCTTCTTCTGATAGGTGCTATCTGCAAAAGCGTGTGCTCAACAGCTCAAAAGGTCCTGCTGTCCGTGCACTGCGTGCTCAGACCGATAAGAGGGAGTATGCAATGGAGATGAGGAAAGTTGTAGAAAGGTCAGTATATACAAAAAAAACCTCGTGTATCATAACTTATAACTTGCACACTTAGTCAAAAATTTGTTTGACAAAAGTGGTTAGTGCTAAAGATCGATGTTCATTTTGGTGGCCTCTCATCTAAATCACGTATTTCATATATTCTTAGGTGGCCCTGACAGAATCACGATGTCACTATTATTTATGCTACAAAACATAGCGACCTCACTAATTTGGCATGTCATAGTGTTACTCCTGACCAAAGACTCTGTAGGTAGTACTATTTGACTAGATGAATATTTTTTCCTGCATATTGACTCACAGATTCGTAAAGGTGAATGCAGATTTTTATCCGTAACAACTGGAAAAAAAACAATGTGAAGGCTATTATGACATCTAATCTATATATTTGTTGTTGTTGCCGGCATATTTATTAGTCTGGTATCTTTCATGCTACTTACTTATTACTGCACATGCTATTTTCAGCACACAAAATCTTTTCATTAGAGAGGCAATGGCTACAGAAGTTATGTTAGGCAAGAATGATAGTGTTGAGGGTGTTCGCACTTTCTTCGGCATGGATTTTTACGCACCTTCTGTTGTACTTACCACCGGGACATTTATGAGTGGTAAGATTTGGGTTGGTAGGACATCAATGCCTGCAGGGCGAGCTGGAGAGTCAGCTTCTCAGGGACTTACTGAAAACTTGCAGCATCTGGGTTTTGAAACTGACCGTTTAAAAACTGGCACGCCACCACGAATTGATCGCAGAACAGTTGACTTTTCTAAATTGGAAGCCCAGCATGGTGATGAAGAGGTGTGTAGAACATATGATATTTTTTTTCTTGTGATTATATTTTCTTGGTTATCTGCATTGGGATATGCTGGGGTGGGGGGTCATTTCCCACTTTGGCTTGTATTGTTAGGGAAAACAACAGTATAAGTATGTCAAATTAAATAGTGCACCTTTGTACTAAGTTAATAAGCTTCTGAGATGGCTTGGTTAGTCTATATATGTTGAATGAAGTGTGGCTTAAGCTTAAGCTTGAGGTTCAAGCTGATGGTGCCTCTTGAAACAGGTAGGCTGGTTCAGTTTTGATCCTGAGTTTCACGTTGAGAGGGAACAAATGTGCTGCTATTTAACGCGAACTACAAAAGAGACACACCAGATTGTTACAGACAACTTGGATGAAACACCAACATATGGTGGCTGGGTTGAAGCAAAGGGACCAAGGTACTGCCCAGCAATTGAAGACAAGGTATTATATCATGGACATTTTTGGTCTGTGATTTCGTTTGACAAAAGATTGTGTTTTGACCTATTATGTGTAATCGACCTAAACTTGAAAAGATCATGGAAAGAAAAATTTGTTTCCCTATATAGACTAACTTTTTTGCCGATCACAGTCCGAAACATAACCGTATATTTGTTTGTTGCAGATTGTAAGGTTCAAAGATAAAGAATCTCATCAGGTGTTTCTTGAACCGGAGGGTAGAGATGTCCCTGAGCTATATCTGCAGGTCTCTCTTTGCCCCTCAATTTTGCATATTTTTCCTTTTCCACCAATTGTTTTCAGTCTGAGATTTGGTAGCACTTGTTCTTATCTATGTACTTTTTGTGTAAAAACGATATTTTCTGCATCATTGTGTTACTCAAAATCTACAACTTAGACCATTTGTACACCTCATACAGGGCTTTTCCACTGGTCTTCCTGAGAGATTGCAATTACCACTTGTGAGAACACTACCAGGACTGGAGAACTGTGTGATGCTAAGGCCAGCTTATGCTGTTGAATATGATTACTTGCCTGCTTATCAGTGCTCAAGATCGCTTATGACAAAAAGGTTTGAGGGCTTATTCTTCTCTGGTCAGATTAATGGAACAACAGGATATGAAGAAGCTGCAGCTCAGGTGTGTTCATTGCCTCTGATATGTCCATTTCAGGACATATGGTTAATTGAACCTGATTTCTGGATCCTAATCTTGCTCACTTTTATTACAGGGTATAGTTTCAGGAATCAATGCAGCTAGACATTCTGATGGAAAGCCACTAATCGTTCTTGAGAGGGAAAGCAGTTACATTGGGACTCTGATTGATGATCTTGTTACAAAAGATCTTAGGGAGCCTTATCGCATGTTAACAAGGTATGGGTTATCAATAGAACAGCTCTTGGTATTAATGCTTAAATGGTCTGATGGAAAAAGCATAATTGCAGGCTCATATATATTAAGACAAAGCAATGTGACATAGTATTTGTATTTAACAGTGAATATTAGAATCTGTATAATTCTACAAGGCTGCATGCCAACTTTTAGGGTTTGCCACTCAATTTGTTGGCATTCATGGATTTGCAAACTGATGTCTCACGAACACGTGGGTCCAGGGACCACATGTCAATGAGATATGAAGTAGCAAATCCTTGTGTGCCAAGGACAAGGAATGTAGTGGCAAGTTTCGTTCACCATAGAGTAACAATCATGATTCTCACCAAGGACTGCATCAGAAAGGGCTAGTTAAATGCATAGCATAAGATTAGACAAATGTTACAAAACTATGCTCGAACGATGTTATCGATTTTCGCGAAACTCGGCACGAGCACTGCTCATTCATTATGGACAAAAATTACAGCCATAATTACAAATCACTTGTTTTTTGAAGGGACAAGCCAGAACTTTACTGACAGCATGCTGTGATGTTTTATGTTGTCTAATATTGTCCATTAGAAGGAATCAATGAACTTACCATTTTATTAATCTAATGACTTTGAATCACAGTTTGACTGATAATTTTTGTTGTTGGCACTTGTGTACATTCAGTCGTTCAGAGCACCGTCTACTATTTCGATCCGATAATGCTGATAGTCGGTTGACCCCTTTCGGGAGAGAGATTGGTTTAATAGATGATAGACGCTGGGAGCTTTATAAGTCAAAGCAAGCCCGCATTAAAGAAGAAAAGGAACGATTGAAGCATACAAGAGTATCGGGTAAGCTTTATATACTTTCGAAGCTGCATTGCCACATATTTTATGCGAAGTTCAGAAATATTATATTATTATTGTTAAGATCTGTTCTCTTTGTGTATTTACAAGCATGGTTTCTGGTTCTATAATCAAGTATTCCATTTGCAGGAGTTGAATTTTCTGCCGAAGTTACTGCAGTATCAAACCAACCTGTAAAGGAGTCATCGACACTTGAAGCCATACTGAAAAAGCCACATGTACAGTATAAACTTCTGGACAAGCACGGATATGGAAATGAGCATTTATCTCCAATTGAGAAAGACTGCGTGGAGATTGATATCAAGTACGAAGGTTTCATAGCACGACAGCAGAGTCAGTTACAACAGGTAATTTGCTTATGGTCATGTCATTTTGTTCTGAATTAAATATGCATGGGGGCTTCTTTCAAGTGCAAGAGAAATGGTAAATACATGTTTAAGAAGCCTGGCAGTGATGCATATTGCACTTGTTGTGCAAGTATCTGTCGTTCTATGCATGTTCTTTTTCTCTGTCCAGGAACTTGTTTTAGCTCTTTTGTAGCTGTAGCTGATTCTGTACCTTTCTCCACTGTAATAAAGAATGTCGGGGTTTTAAGTTTTTTATTCTTGCTTTTTTTAAGAAAAAGACCAACTAACTCCATTGGCTTTGATAGGTTCAGTTATTTAATCTGTCTTGTTTGCTACTTGAAAAACCTGCCGACCCCTAATAATCGTTTCCCTCTTCAGATTATAAACCAGGAACACAGGAAACTTCCTGAAGACTTGGATTACCACTCGATGCTAAATCTATCCCTTGAAGCTCGAGAGAAACTTTCCAAGGTATGAGAAGCATCTGCTTGTACAGTATATTTACTCTTTCTGGAATAGCATTTAGAATATGTTCAAGAGCCTTACATAGGAAAACCTGCCAATAATAACCCAGGGGCATGCACTACTCAGTCCTTAATTTAGCAACACGCATGTTGTGTGCACTTCAGTCTTTTGTGATAAAATCGATGGTGTGGGAATCATAAGGTGCCTTCCTTTTTTGCCCAACATTTCCTCGAGATTTCAGCGCTACAAATTTGATCTGCGTGACCACATCCTGTCTGAACTTCCTGTCATGCACACACACACACACTGAACCAAGTGGTTAAAACCTTTCAACTACAGTGCTGTACTATTATAAGCAGGGCACGCCAGTTTTACGATTGCGTCCGATACAACTCATTTTTCGATGATGCATCTGCAGGTAAGGCCACAAACGTTAGGCCAGGCTGGCAGGATCGGTGGCGTGAGCCCAGCTGACATGACGGTTCTCCTCATCTCGATGGAAAGCACCCGCCGTGCGGCGGAGTACAAGCGACAGCAAGAAATGATGAGGTCCGTCGCCGCGGCCAGGGCCAATGCCAAAGCCAAGGCGGATGATTCTTCAGACGAGGTGGTTCATGCCAGCACCGCGTAACTGCACACACCCCTGGCTGTGACTGCTACAGGTAACCGAACAGCGACCCTCACAATAGAAGTTGCGGTTCGCGGGGCAGTGTGCCCCACGAAATAGAATCTCGCGGGGATGTAGCTGGAACGCAGCAGAATTGTTCAGGAGATGCTGAGAATGCATGTGCTATACCTGGACATCTACCTCTTTTCGATGGCCTGACGGAGTGGTTGGTGGTGCTGCCACAGTTCAGTTTCAGGCATGTGGATGACTGAAGCTTATTCGGAATGTTGGGTCCAGTGAGGAGACCATAGAGGGTCCGTTGCGCCCTTGCGCTTAGGGGTCAGTATAGGCACGAATGTAAAGAAAAGGCGACGACGATGAACCGATGCTCGCTGTTTTTTGTGTACATATACACATTTGTGTTTTTCAGATCCTGGAATGATGCAATGAAGCCATGCCGTTTATGTTTCAAGGGAGCTGTCATTAGAATTCACAGTTAGAAAAACATAATGCGAAGTAGCGCAATCTTAGTCACACAATGTGAACTGTTAACTCTCTCAAAACACATTGCTGAAATGAAGATCGATTAGTAAGTTGATGAAGTATCATGTAACCATGTACATGTATTAATTGGAGCATCACTGAAACATTTGCAGCTCCCCTCTACTGAGCAATGGGTAAGTCAGGCACCATCAGTAAAAACCTCTGCAAAACACCAACATTCTATCTAATCTACTCCCTCCGTCCGAAAATACTTGTCATCAAAATGGATAAAAAGAGATGTATCTAGAACTAAAATACGTCTAGATATATCCCCTTTTATCCATTTTGATGACAAGTATTTCCGGACGGAGGGAGTACCACCATAATCGTTCGTAGGAACCAAGGCCTAAACCCCAGAATGGACCAATGATCTATGTACACACAAAAATCTCCAGCACTACCCCCTCCTCTACCACCTCGAGTCACAAAACCCTCTGCAAAAACATGCCATCAGCCAAGATGTGGCCGCCGACGAACCTCGGATTCAGATCCATCATCTGTAGGCGGCCCGCGAGCTCCAGCGCCATTGGTCCTGATGCGCGCGTAGACCTGCAGGTTGCCATGGAAGAAGCCGACGATCTGCTCCAGCGCGGGGACGAAGCCGACCGGCAGAGTGGCCGAGGCCGCAAAATGGACATGCCTCACCACCTCGTCGTGCTTGGCCATCTCGTTGTCCAGTTTCCTCCTCATCTTGTGCAGATCAACGGTGTGATCACCACTGTTCTCCGGGAGCGCGACCATGTCGGTGCCGGTGCCCGGGCCGAGCTCTCGCTGCAGGGCCTCCCGCCTTTTGTTGTAGTCCCTGGAGGCGTGGTCGACCTTCCTCTTCTGCCGGTCCTCGTCCTCCTGCCTCTTCCTGAGCTCGTGGACTAGCTTGTAGAAGTAGTCGATCGACTTCAGCGCGTCGCTCTTGGGCACCAGATCGATGGCCCGGAACCAGTCGTTCGACACGACGAATATCGGCCGCGCGCCGAGCTTGCCCGGGGAGAAAGGCGGGGCGCCGTCTGGCGCGTCTTGCTCGTCCGGCACCTCGGGGAACCATCTCCTCAGCCATCCATTCAGTGCCTCCACATAAGACCTCTGCGAGCTGGTCCACTTGTTGAAGCAGCGGTACCATTTCGTGAGCTCCCTCTCCAGCTCCAGCGTGGCCAATGTGGCGGCGGCGGACTGGCTCACGGTCCTCGCCTTGAGCAGGTGCAGCCTGCTGTCCCTTATGGCCGACAGCTGCTTCTCATGGCATTCCAGAACTGCCTTCCACATCCTTCGCAATCTGTGTTTGATTGAACAAAAAACAAGAGCAGCAATGCGCGTGGTCAGTTTAAAGGTTTTGTTCTGTCAGACAATGAAGTTGTGGAACAACAACTGGAACCAGGAAGAGAGCTTCATCATACCCTTGAATAAGATCAACAAGTTGAGGGTACAGTTCCTCGTCCCGAATCTTCTCGATCTTCGACGAGAAGGCCTTGGCTGTTTTGATGTTGATGGTGATCTTCGACCGCAAGTCCCGCACCGACGATCTGGCTGTCTCTATCGCATCCGGCTCTGCCCCTTGTTCGTCTAGTGACTTCAGCCTGTTGTACTTCTTTTCATACAGAGCCCTCAGCTTCTCTTCATCCTAGAACAATCACCTAACCTTTTTCAACACATATTTGGGCAGTAAATAAAGAGATAATATGAATGGGCACTTGTAGCTTGTTGATGTGGCCTCAAATGTGCTTACCTTAACCTCCTGATATAGCTTCTTTTCCCATACACAGAGCTTCTCCAGGGTTGAACAGAGGCTTCCGTTGCGATTTTCTCTACCATTGGCCGATGAAGCTGAAGCGCTCGGCAACCTTGAGCACCTTTCCCGCTTTGGAACGCAGTAAGAAGAGGACGGCACACTAAGCGACATAGGCTCCATCACCCTGGAAGAGAAATCTGCAGAAACAACATAATATGTCAGTCACCTTTCAATGTACTTGCCCATGTAACAAAATTTCAGACATGTGTTGCTCCAATAAAACATTTCCATTACCCACATCTAAGAACTTTAGGCGCCGTCCGGTGAGGCACCTTCCCCACCTCGAGCATCCTGGAGACCTCATCGCCGCAATGCAGCGCCTCCTCGAATCGCTCCTTGACCTCCTCCATCGCCTCCACGACATCTCTCTCCCCATTGTGCAATGGCGAGAAGGACTCGCTGTTCAATGCCATGGCCGACTGCACTGACTTGCCGTGGCTTCCCCCAGCGCCATCTGCACCGACAATCGACACGGCCTCATCAGTCGCAGCACCCTTCTTCTTCCCATTGGAGCTGCCGCCAACAATGTCGCCACCATTCTCACCAAATGGCACATCCGTCTTCTTCTTCTTATTGGAGGAGTTGCCACCAGCAATGTCACCAAAGTTAGCACCCTTCAAGCTCACTGCATCGGTCCTGCCCCCTTTCTTGCTGTTCGAGCTGGAGCCGGCATTGCTCGGCACCGAATCGTTCCTTGACAGCGGCTTATCCGCCTCGGCATTGGCACCAGATGATCCCTTGCTCTTTGGCTTCACCTCAGAGGACTCGCCCTTGGGCCCAGCATTGGTGGTAGGACCAGGAGCTGGTCTCTTCCCCTTCACACTCTGATCTTCAACCACGGCTGAAGTTGATGGTTTTGCTGGCCCCAGCTCAGCCTCGTCCTCAAGCTCCGGGATCCCCTCCATCCTCCTCAGCTCGGCGTAATTGGCGTAATTGGGGCTGCTGGTGGGCAGATTCCGATTCCCGTCGGCGGCCTCGCCGGGCATGCCGCGCGGGTAGTCCTCCGGGAACTGGTCATAGGGCGTGGGCGTGAAGATGTCTAAGAAGTCCCACGGCGAGGCCTCTGGGGGCGGCGGCGTGGGCGGCGCGTGGCGCGGCCTCGCCTCCTCCGCGACCGGCTCGCCGTAGGGGCCGTACGTGTACGCGGGCCCGTAGCCGTAGCTGGCCGCGCCCTCGGCGTACTCGGCGTAGGGGTCCTCGTAGACCACCGTGGGCACGGTGGCGGAGTTCCTCATGTAGTGGCGGTGCTGCTGCGTCGTCGCCGGGGGCGGCGCGTGCCCGCGGAGACGGGCGCGCCGGGAGTGGTCGAGCGCGTGGAGGTGCTCGTCGTCGTCGGAGTCTGCGGTGTCGTTGTCGTCGGAGAGGGAGTGGGAGAAGGGCGAGACGGTGGAGGAGGAGGAGGCCGGAGACGGCGGGAGGCTCGACGCGGCGGCGGCGGAGGAGGAGGCGACGGCGGGCTGCTGCGGCTTGGGGTCGGGGGACGGCGGGAGGGTGAGCACGGGCGAGGCGGCGGGGTCGGGGGTGGCGGGGAGGAGCGCGGCCGCCGCGAAGCGCCGCAGCGCGCCGCCCACGGCGGCGAGCGAGCGGAAGTAGGCCGCGTGCGCCGCCGCCAGCGCGAAGCGCCTGTCCGCCGCGGCCCGGATCAGCGCCACCCGCTGCCGGCACACCGCCCCGGGGCCCCGCGGCCGCCGCGAGAACGCGGAGGACGAGGAAGCGGCGGCCCCCGTCGTGGCCCGTCGCAGCGTCTCCCTGGCCGCGGCGGCCGCGGTGGCCTTGAAGGCGTCGTGCGAGGGCGCGCAGCCCATGGTGGGGCGGCCACTCGCCGGGCGACGAGGAGGCGAAGGGAGAAGGCACCGAAAACCCTAGCTAGATGCGCAGCGGCGGTGGTGGGAGCCGGACGCGCTTTGTTTTTGTGGGCTCTGGCGGCTCGTCGGCGTCCATTACATATAAGGCGCGGCGCGGGGCGGGTCGGTGGCTCGGACGTGCGGCTCGCGGCCTCCTCCGTGCACTGGGAGGGGAGCGGCTCCGGCGCGGCGTCGGATCGAGCTGCGGCGGCGGAAGGAAGGAAGGAGGCGGCCGGGAAGGGATTTGGGATGTGGGATTGGGAGGGAGGAAAGGATGGAAGGAGGGAGACGAGAAAGGAAGGAGTGGTGGTCGCGTACAATTTTGCCCCTCGGCTTTTCCTTTTCTTCTGCTCCGCCCCCTCTCCTCTCCGCTTGCCTTATTTTTCTAGCGTTTGACCAAACCCGTGTTTTTTTTTGGGGAAAAACTTTCAGTCTATTCATCTTCAATCATGGTAGTGCAACAAACACTAAAAATAATAAAAATTACATCCAGAGTGTTGGAAGATGCATTGCTCTTAACTTTCTCCGAGGTTGATGAAAGTTGTCACAGACGTCTTCGTAGTCGACTGAAACATATCATTCCTGAACGCACATTGGCGAGCACCAATGCCGAGCTCGAAATTGCCATCCTCCCAGGAAATGGCATGTCGCTCTAAACTATCAGCAAAAAAAAAACTTTTGAAATGCCACTCTCTTCAAGCAAACGTCAGCAGATGAGATTTTTTGTTTTTATGTCGGATGAGCAGGGATTACAACGAAAGTTTCAACCGGATCTACTCAATAATCCAGTGCTTCCCTAGCACCTTGATGGGCTGCATCATTCGCCTCTCTACCCTACATAGCGAAGATGAAAT